TAGACCATGGTTGCACAGACTTATGAAGACTAGGGGCCACTCGGGCAAATCATGAACTGATGGCGGGCCGGCCGCCAGAAGTATAGGTAATTAAAGACAATAAAGAATTGATAATAATTTATTAAAATTCAAAAAGAATTTATTAATTTGAAGCGTGGCACTGCATAGTGCTTACAATCTTTTTTATATTTGGCTCAAATTTACTTGTAGCAACACGTAAAACTGCTTCCAAACTTTCATTTGCAAGGCGGTTTCGATTTTTTGTTTTATTATTATTTAGTATTGAAAAAGTTTGTTCACATATATAGGTAGAACCAAATAAGCTGGCACATTTCAGAGCGTTTATGCGCAACTTTTCGTACATATTTTTATCAATGCAGCGGTAAAAGTTCAGCAAGTCTCCTTCGTTGAATTTGTTGCGTAAATCTTGATCGTTTTGAATGTCGATAATTTCTAACTGCATTGACTCTGGCGCATTTTCAACTGAAATCGTGAAAGGATTGCTGAATATGTCCAACAGAGGTTTCACTTTTTTAAAATCCGAAAATCTGTCTTGAAAAGATTGAATCAAAATATCTAGCTTTTCTACATAACTGAAATTAATCGCAGTTTTGTTGAATTTTTCAGCCATTTTCTTATAATTCGGAAAATGATTGTAATTTCCAGAATTCAATTGTGATCTGAAAAGTGTCAGCTTGCATTGAAAGGATGATACATGAGCGTAGAGCTGGGATATCAGTTGATTTTTGCCTTGAAGCCGTGTGTTCAAGACATTCAAATGATTTGTAATGTCAACTAAAAAAGCCAAATCACACAACCAATCAGGATTTTTAAGTTCCGGGACATCCCTTTGCTTTTCCGCCAGAAATATTCCAATTTCTTCTATTAAATTTAGAAATCGTTCCAGTGTCAATCCACGGCTTAGCCACCTTACTTCTGTATAATACAGTAAATCTCCGTATTCGCTTTCGATGTCATCAAGGAATTGTTTGAATTGTCTGTGATTGAGTCCTCGTGATTTTATGAAATTTACAGTCGAAACTACCACTTTCATGACATTTTGAAATTCAATTTTTTTAGAACAGAGGGTTTCTTGGTGTATAATGCAGTGAAACTGCATGAGATCTTCAGCGTTTATGTTTTTTCCTTGCAGATGCTTTTTCAGCAAAGTAACTAGCCCGGAATTGACACCAATCATCGAAGGAGCACCGTCAGTCGCAACTCCCGATAATTTTGATAAGTCCAAATCAGTTTTTGAACACTCATCCAAAAGTACATTGAGTATATCAACTCCTTTGGTTTGACCTTTCAATGAACACATTCCGAATAACTCTTCTAAGACTTCAAAATCTTGAGTAACACCTCGTATGAATATGAGAAGTTGAGCTGTGGAACTAATATCAGTGGATTCGTCGAGTGCTAATGAAAAAAATTCAATGATCTTAGTTTTTTCAATTAATTGTTCCGCAATATTACCTGACAAAGACATAATTCGTCTTTGGATAGTCATACGATTCAGTTGAATTTTCTCAAACTTTTTTGCTGCTTCTGGACACATTTTCTTAGCGGCAATTTCTATGCATTCTTTTACAAAATCGCCATCATTGAAGGGGCGACTTCGCTTTGCTATCATTCGAGAAATTTCATAACTAACTTCTGTAGCTGTTTCTGAATCTTGAATGGGTTTTGTAAACATAGCTTGCTGACCAATAATCTCCCGTTTTAAAGACAACATTTTTTGCTTTCTTAATTCGCCTGTAAACTTGGTAAAAGAAGGATGCTGCGTTTCATAATGCCTTTTTACATTATATTCCTTTGCAATCGCAACAGAATTCTTGCAAATTAAACAAACGACTTTGTTATGCGACCATACAAAAAAGTATTTCTCAGTCCAAATTTCTTGAAACTGCCGATTTTCATCTTTAACCTTACGTTTTTTACTAGGTCCTGGCTTCTCCATGTTGCGTTCTAATCCTGGCTAGGATTAACACAGCACCTAAAAACAATTACAGTACCTACTTAAATTACCCATTCTTTTTTAAATTATCAAAAATAATTGATTAAATTCCTCAGAAATTTTAAGATTTTTATACAGATTTTATATCTGAAATAATGACGTAATTATTACAGTTAGAGAAATTCTGATAAAAATAGTAATTTCTTTGTTTTATTTTAATATTTGGCCAACATTAAAGCTAAATTTGATTAAAATTGATTAAATAGGTAGGGAAACACTTATTAATAACAGAGTTTTACTTACGATTTCACAACACAATTATACACGGCACTTGACGGGTTAACAGGAAATCTACGTTGAATGTGGATCAAAATATATGACACCGGCTAGTCGAGTTAAAATCTACACTAGAACTATTGCCTCCCCAAAACACTATTAAACTGCACTTATTCTCCTACGCTTCGTGTATCTACTCGTACCTACGCGAGCAATCGGGAATTCGGGACTATTGCTATCTCGCTTGCTCACACCGCGCTAGAAAATTCTTGATTTCTCTACTATTTTGAACTTTATATAAAGTTTTTAGATTTTTTTGGTTTTATTCTGGAATAGAATTAAATATTCTTCGAATGTACGAGAGTATTATTTTTGCTGTCGGCGGGCCACCAGTATTCGACCGGCGGGCCGCGGTCTGTGCATCCATGGTTTAGACGAATAAAACTATTTCCATCTTTTGCTAAATATATACTTTTAATTATATTCTGATTTTTTTCTCCATGTCTGAAATTGTTAAATACTTAAATGTATGCAATTTTAAAATAATTTATAAATTCAGATTGTAAAAATTGAAATATTAAATGGAAATCATTAAAGTCACTTAATTTCCTTAGAAATGACAATTTCTGTCTTCCAATACCAAATTTTATACTCGTTTACATGATTAAATATCCAATTATATGAAATTGTTTTTCTAATCGAAATAATTGCAAAATTTTATATTTGAAATTCTTTTTATTAAACAGGTTCACACAAAATGCCACTCAATTTAAATTCACACGACGTCATTCTACCAGTGAATAATTCCAACAGAGTCTAATGCTGCGAATCCTTGTCATAAACACTGACCGGAAGGTCAATTCTTTTACAAAATATTGTTAGAGTTTTACAGTAAAAAATGAAAGCAAAATTACACTTAGAGAAATGCTTCAGCTTTCTACAGCTATCAGTCACACTCATACTAATGCCATTTAGATTATGCAAAAAGGGTGTTAATATTTGTTTCATTAACCACTTACTTTTCATATTTTTTATCTATTTGCCCTAGCAATTTAGCGATAACTTTCGGAATTCGATGCAATCGGCACGCCGATGTTTATCTGTATTTTAAAACGTCGATTAATGCCGCGTAACTCGATGCAAAAACAGCTTTATTGTGAATAATTAAGTGTAATTTACGATCTCGAAGTAATGGATATTTTGTAGTGAACGCAGTTACAGACTATCGTAATATTTTCTTTGCTAACAAGGTAGTTTNAATACGGGATAGCTGCAGGAACACCGCAATATATGCCAGCGCCTGGATTCTATCAATACGGGCCAGTGCAAGATGTGGGTAGATATGCATCGTTTATTCCATTGTTTAAAAATAGGCCTAGTTCTTGGTCAAAAGAAATACAAATGATAGATGAATCAAACAATGCATCGTCGGCACAAGTGCCAACTTCTAGGCCATCATCGGTAGCTTTCGAGATTGAGCCAGCAACTGAAGTGTTGGTATGTTAGCCTACCGCTGAAAGTATAGCAGAGACACCGCTTTTCTCAGGTTCGATGGAATGTTTACTAAATCATAACAAAGGTACATATCATTGATATTATCACAGTTTTAATTTGATTATAATAGAAATATTTATGATACTTGGATATATTTTTATACATGCAACTGTTGAGATTGCAGTTAGATATTTGAGTTTGTTCCTTAAACCATCTTTAACTCCGGTATTGTCTTTTAGATAAGGGAGAAAATATCTTACGTTTCACTAAGCATTAAATATTAAATATACAAAATAAAATCAACTAAAAGACAACATTTAAAACATAAGTAACAAACGAATGATAAACATCGCCAATAAGAGATTGTACTAATTTTATTTCTTTTTAAGTAGAAATGATCGTATACACTCAGAGATGCAAATTAAACAATAATTATTTGTTTTCAATACATAAATTTTGATGACATTTCAGCATTGTTGATCATCTAACAATTCGACATTGTGGATCATTATATTATTTATTGACATTGCGAAATACATTTATAGCGTTAAATTCAGTTTTCATAATTAAACGAATGGAAACAATACACATTTTTCAAAGGCTATCAGATGTAATTATTTTTGTTAATTGAAATTATACATTATTTTCTGTTCATTTTTATTGTGATTTTGGTAGTGTAAAAATATTTTTGATTTAATTGTTATTAGACAATAAACTGAAAATTAAATAGGCGTTACAGAAATTTAAATTTTATTTTTTACGTTTAAATATCTATAACGCAGGCTTTTCATAATTAAGCCAAGTTGCCACGATAAGAGCGCATTTTCATTTAAAGATAGGATAATATCTGCAAATTTTCTCGTTTTCTTTTATCAAATAATCATCATGTTGTAACACTCAAAGAATTTATCTCGATTTTACTTATCTTATTTACGTAATTCTAAATTAACAATATGAAACTGGTAATATTGCATTCTCTTGTTGTCTGAGAATTTTAAAGAGTTCAATTCTTACAAAATTCCTATTACAGAGCTGAAGATTTGGGCTTACATTACTTGAAAGTAATTCGACCAAATACACACGAGTATTGTTTATTTAATTTGCGTTTGGCAGTGTTGCAAACCAAAACCAGCAATTATTTGTTGTGATGTCCTCACCAAGCCAGGCTGCAATTTTTAATTATATTTGAAATTAAATAAATTTTTAATATGCTTTCCACCTTAAATTAGTAGCGGTTTGCTCCTGTATACAATAATTTTTTTTACAATAGAGTTATCTATCTAACTGCATTCGGGAGGAAGTCCTTGAATGGAAATAACGTGACTTTCAATTTGCATCCAAAGTTCATATATAGTTATTTTGGTATGCTGCTCCTAACCTTTTTATTTGTCGGCTCTCTTATATATAACTCCGTTCTTGAGATTGAAAAAGGCAGACTTATAGTCTGACAGACAATAGTGAAAATTTATAAGTCGACAATTTTTTTTTAAGTTGCCGCCCAATTATCCAGCATAAAGCGAGTACAATATATACTTGATCTTGATCCTTTGCCTACGAAATTCTCTGGCGCGTTTCTTTTTAAACACACCGAATATCTATTGTTCTTATATTTATAAATATCTAGTTTTTGCTATAAAATTATATTCTAAATATACGTTAAAATATTGTTATATAATATTTGAATTAACCTAGTTTAATAATTACTCTGTTTTCTTTTATATTTTAGTTTCTGATTCTTCAACTCATGTCGAAGACACAAGTGAAACTAACTCTTCCCACTTGGATCAGGTTAATGCAGGAAATTTCATTAAACATACAAATATTACTGAAATTATCGAACCAGAAATACCCTCGAATAGAAATCGAGAAAGAAAAATCGATGAAATTTCTAATATTTTCGATGACGAAGGATTTTCTTCTAACGTAAGCTGATAGATTATATTAATAGACTACTAAATAATTCTTAATCCTTTTAAAGTTTATCACAGAAAAACAAATTAGAGTAATGTATTATTGAAACAGGATGCAAGTTATTCATTTAGTATTAAATAAATTTTATGCCAATTAATTAAAAAATATTTTGGTATATAAATGTTGTTCCTAACAGAAATCAGAATCACTTTCTAGTCTCCATATTTTCATTAAACATACAATACGATTTTTAATACATTAATTTGCAATAAAATTGCTGAATATGGATTTAACAATTTTTAAGTTAATTCGAAATTTATAAATATTTATTTTTCTTTATTTCACAGAATTTCGACGAGCGTAAGAATGAAGATTTTGATTATTCTCCGGAACAATTCACGGAAACGGTGGACGACATCTTCATTCACAGACCGTTAAAATGGGCTTTTATAAATTTTGAAAGATTTTCTCTTGTGAATGAAATAATTTATGAAGAAGACGAGTTCGAATACGAAAGGTTATCATCAGAAGACGATGATTCCATCCACACAGAAAGCGAATTAAGAAACAATGAACATTCCGATGATGTCGTCGACTAAATTAACGAAATTCAACAAATGAATGTTGAAAGTGAAGTGTCATCAATATCTTCTACGAAAGATGACATTGAGGAAGAAAACTTTGTTTATAATATGAATACGACATCACTACAAGTCATTCAATGCACCAAAAGTGAAGAAGGTGAGAGAGGTGAGATTACTATTATTCAAAATACACTACTAGCCAAGTAAAATGCAGCGTCAAACAATTTAATACACAATTATTAATTTTTAAAGTTTATTTACAGTTTTAAAGTTATATTTAACAAAATTATTTCGTATGATTTCAATATTTATATTTTATATAATTTCACTACACTAAGAATATTGTTGATCGAATTTTATGTATTAGATGTACAGTAAATACACATACAACGTAAATGTAAAATAAGCATCTGTATCATTGTGACGTAAAAGAATAATTCGAATATTGTTTCAGTAATATTTCAATTGTCTCGAAACAATATTATGTCGATGTTCGTGTCACTTATGCGGACAACAACAAAAGATGCAATTCACTGAATTAGCCTGTGGTTCTCGACATTGCCTATTTAATATTTTAAAAAATACAATTTATTTTTGAATGAATATTTACTACGGATGGAGGTTGAGTGTAATTCTTATTCAGACACTTAAGAAAAACATAATGGCGTGGTTTCTTCTTTTCTGCTAATCCTAAAGTCTTGAGAGTCTTATTTGACTCGCACAAAGCAGAAAATGGCTTTTTTGTATTATTGCCAAGAGCATAATTAGGAATTAAAATATAATGATGTTATTATAATTAAATTAAAAAAATAACGAAGTGTAATTTTTTTTTGTTTCAGTGTATGATGATAAACAGAAACAAAAGCAGGAGTTTCAAGACGTAACTGAATGCGAAGATAGCAAAAATGAGGATGATAGATCTTTATCCGACACGGAAACGATCGAAGAATACGAAAGAAAAGTGAGAAAATATTTTCTACATTTCATTAGTTTAGTCCATGGTTGCACAGACTTATGAAGACTAGGGGCCACTCGGGCAAATCATGAACTGATGGCGGGCCGGCCGCCAGAAGTATAGGTAATTAAAGACAATAAAGAATTGATAATAATTTATTAAAATTCAAAAAGAATTTATTAATTTGAAGCGTGGCACTGCATAGTGCTTACAATCTTTTTTATATTTGGCTCAAATTTACTTGTAGCAACACGTAAAACTGCTTCCAAACTTTCATTTGCAAGGCGGTTTCGATTTTTTGTTTTATTATTATTTAGTATTGAAAAAGTTTGTTCACATATATAGGTAGAACCAAATAAGCTGGCACATTTCAGAGCGTTTATGCGCAACTTTTCGTACATATTTTTATCAATGCAGCGGTAAAAGTTCAGCAAGTCTCCTTCGTTGAATTTGTTGCGTAAATCTTGATCGTTTTGAATGTCGATAATTTCTAACTGCATTGACTCTGGCGCATTTTCAACTGAAATCGTGAAAGGATTGCTGAATATGTCCAACAGAGGTTTCACTTTTTTAAAATCCGAAAATCTGTCTTGAAAAGATTGAATCAAAACATCTAGCTTTTCTACATAACTGAAATTAATCGCAGTTTTGTTGAATTTTTCAGCCATTTTCTTATAATTCGGAAAATGATTGTAATTTCCAGAATTCAATTGTGATCTGAAAAGTGTCAGCTTGCATTGAAAGGATGATACATGAGCGTAGAGCTGGGATATCAGTTGATTTTTGCCTTGAAGCCGTGTGTTCAAGACATTCAAATGATTTGTAATGTCAACTAAAAAAGCCAAATCACACAACCAATCAGGATTTTTAAGTTCCGGGACATCCCTTTGCTTTTCCGCCAGAAATATTCCAATTTTTTCTATTAAATTTAGAAATCGTTCCAGTGTCAATCCACGGCTTATCCACCTTACTTCTGTATAATACAGTAAATCTCCGTATTCGCTTTCGATGTCATCAAGGAATTGTTTGAATTGTCTGTGATTGAGTCCTCGTGATTTTATGAAATTTACAGTCGAAACTACCACTTTCATGACATTTTGAAATTCAATTTTTTTAGAACAGAGGGTTTCTTGGTGTATAATGCAGTGAAACTGCATGAGATCTTCAGCGTTTATGTTTTTTCCTTGCAGATGCTTTTTCAGCAAAGTAACTAGCCCGGAATTGACACCAATCATCAAAGGAGCACCGTCAGTCGCAACTCCCGATAATTTTGATAAGTCCAAATCAGTTTTTGAACACTCATCCAAAAGTACATTGAGTATATCAACTCCTTTGGTTTGACCTTTCAATGAACACATTCCGAATAATTCTTCTAAGACTTCAAAATCTTGAGTAACACCTCGTATGAATATGAGAAGTTGAGCTGTGGAACTAATATCAGTGGATTCGTCGAGTGCTAATGAAAAAAATTCAATGATCTTAGTTTTTTCAATTAATTGTTCCGCAATATTACCTGACAAAGACATAATTCGTCTTTGGATAGTCATACGATTCAGTTGAATTTTCTCAAACTTTTTTGCTGCTTCTGGACACATTTTCTTAGCGGCAATTTCTATGCATTCTTTTACAAAATCGCCATCATTGAAGGGGCGACTTCGCTTTGCTATCATTCGAGAAATTTCATAACTAACTTCTGTAGCTGTTTCTGAATCTTGAATGGGTTTTGTAAACATAGCTTGCTGACCAATAATCTCCCGTTTTAAAGACAACATTTTTTGCTTTCTTAATTCACCTGTAAACTTGGTAAAAGAAGGATGCTGCGTTTCATAATGCCTTTTTACATTATATTCCTTTGCAATCACAACAGAATTCTTGCAAATTAAACAAACGACTTTGTTATGCAACCATACAAAAAAGTATTTCTCAGTCCAAATTTCTTGAAACTGCCGATTTTCATCTTTAACCTTACGTTTTTTACTAGGTCCTGGCTTCTCCATGTTGCGTTCTAATCCTGGCTAGGATTAACACAGCACCTAAAAACAATTACAGTACCTACTTAAATTACCCATTCTTTTTTAAATTATCAAAAATAATTGATTAAATTCCTCAGAAATTTTAAGATTTTTATACAGATTTTATATCTGAAATAATGACGTAATTATTACAGTTAGAGAAATTCTGATAAAAATAGTAATTTCTTTGTTTTATTTTAATATTTGGCCAACATTAAAGCTAAATTTGATTAAAATTGATTAAATAGGTAGGGAAACACACTTATTAATAACAGAGTTTTACTTACGATTTCACAACACAATTATACACGGCACTTGACGGGTTAACAGGAAATCTACGTTGAATGTGGATCAAAATATATGACACCGGCTAGTCGAGTTAAAATCTACACTAGAACTATTGCCTCCCCAAAACACTATTAAACTGCACTTATTCTCCTACGCTTCGTGTATCTACTCGTACCTACGCGAGCAATCGGGAATTCGAGACTATTGCTATCTCGCTTGCTCACACCGCGCTAGAAAATTCTTGATTTCTCTACTATTTTGAACTTTATATAAAGTTTTTAGATTTTTTTGGTTTTATTCTGGAATAGAATTAAATATTCTTCGAATGTACGAGAGTATTATTCTTGCTGTCGGCGGGCCACTAGTATTCGGCCCGCGGGCCGCGGTCTGTGCATCCATGCTCTAGTTAAACCATCCATACGCGTTTTCAGCTCGTTCATCGTTGCTGTTAACTTCTGCAAGTCATCTACTGAGTTTGTTGGTCGGTCGCCTTCCCGAAGCATGATCCCCCGCGGATGTGCGGTGAGGTTTTCTATCATCTCCTCGCTAATAGCGGCCTTTAACGCATCGTCAAATGTAGCAGGCTCCCGGGACATCGTCCGCTGCCGTATGCGTAAAGCAATTTTATTTAAAAATTGCGCCTTTAATCGTTCATCAAGCTCTTTTCTTTGGACCCGTTGTATGATAGCGGCTTCCTCGTCATTTGCACCCGGCTCTGGCGTGATTACTATCTCCATTGCTAGAGACTGTAGACGAGCGGCATACGCTTGCACATCTTCGTCTCGTTTCTGTACGCAAGTATAGAATTTATTTAGTCGGACTGGAAAAGGTTCGCGTTCAAAGCGCTCTATCATTATACGTTTGAATTCCTCAAATTCTTCTACAGTTTTAATTCTATGATCCTTCCGGACAAATTCTCGGGCTATTCCCGTAAGCTTCAACTTAGCTACCGCTAGCATCTGAGACTTGGACCAGGTGGCTGCTTTGGTTACGTCCGCCAACGAATCGAAAAAGTCTGTTACTCTGGTGCCTCCTGCCTCTCCAGAAAAAACGGGTAACAGTGGTATAATCCCGCCTAGACCTCCCAATGTGTTCAAATTCGGCGTTGGGTTTGGATTTGGGTTGCCTGGCCCAGCCGCAGGTTGAGGTTGCGGATCGCGCTCCATTTTATCTTCTAATTTCTACTTAACGTCTCTACTGTAAGAAAGGAATATCTAACTCAGTTCGAATCGACCGTGTTACTCGTATATGGCCTTTCTCCTTCACCTTACCAAAGTTCCGAGGAAGTCGAAACCCCACTCCTGCAAACCAATATGTGAACCGCCGGAAGGGTGTAGGTCTCGCCGATCCGGCATCAGGTAGTTAAACCTTCTCACTGTCAGGATAGATGAAAGTTTAATAGTTCACGAGAAAACGTTATGTTGCTTTCTAGAAAATGTAACGGGAGACTTTCTCAGGTAGCTAAGAACAACAATTGTTGCGTAATTCGCGAAATGTTAATATTAAAGACTTGGTGTAGTATAGGAATTTCTGCTATCTCACATATTGTTTATTTAAAATTATCGAAAACGTTCAAATTAAATCAATTTATTTGAATAAAAATAAGTTTAAATTAGATAACGGTTGAAGTTAACGAGTTCTTTTGATCGTTACTTCCTATTGGATAATACAACCTCACGTGGTCACGAAGAAAACATTTTTAAACACGTTTGTAATAAAGTGACACGATGCGGCTTTTTTTTAAGTTTAAATTTTAAATTTAATAAAGTAACCTAAAGTAATACGGCATTTGCAAACATATTTAATTTATAACTTTTATTTCTAGACGTTACCTTTTTTGACTTAGATTATTTAGGCCTATACTCTAGTTTTATATACAATGTATAGGGGTTATCTAAAAGTCATCTGTTATTAGTGACGCTCGCCTCTTCAATTTCAACCTCGTGCAGTTCTGACCTTGTTAATAGTTCGGGGTCATCGTTAAATGTAGACTTCATGACATCATAGAAAAGGTATGTGTTAGGCTGTGAGCTATACCGAATATGTTAGAACAGTGTTTTATTCTTTTGATAATCATTCAAAATGATTCCTTTTTATAGTTTAGAAAAGGTATTTTACTCGTACTTTTAATAATTACTTTTCCGGCTTTTATATATAACAGAGGAAAACTTATGGCGATCGGTCAAGAAATGACCCTTCCAAGATTTTTACTTTTTGGACTCGAGATTTTAAAACTTCGAGAAATACAAATAATTTTTTCACCCTGTTTGAAGTTTAATAACTCTTGTGCCTATTGTCGAAAATGTCTGAAATTTTGCAGTGAGGTTTGTGCATTACCGGGATTAAAGCTACTAAATTTTGACGGTTACAGGAAGTGAAGAGATAAACGGATATCGTGTCATATCACGAGTAGGATCACACTTAATGACGATTTTACTCGTAATTAGCATTTCTAATATTTTATAATACGTAGCCTACTCTCAAAATTAAGTTATTTGCCATTTTATAATAAGTTAGTACATAGGGGAGACCGGGGCAAGATCGGCATGTTAAGCTTTACTTAAATTTTGGGTAATAAATACTGCTGTAAGCTGAAAAAAAAGCTTTGCATATTGTCTATTGGAATGTTACCTTACTATAGAACTGGTTAAAATCAGTTTGGAAATAAAAATAATTAAAATAATTACAACTTTACAAGAAGAGAGAAATTGACGAAGTTGCCCCGGGTATAGGGGCAAGATCGGCAACTTCTCTCTTTTTGTAAAGTTGTAATTATTTTAATTATTTTTATTAAAGTTGCCCCTGGTATAGGGGCAACAGTAATGGGGCAAGATAGGCACGTATATAAAATTATGTTATTAACAATGTATAAGTTGGAATTCACTATTAAAACAAAGAAATACAAATCCAACACCCATTTAATATTATTACAACGAAATGCAAGTTCAAAGACATATATACATGAATAACAAATGCAAACATGTTTTCATTTATCATCTGTTTGATTTTTATCCTTTGCTTCTAATGTGGCTTTATGTTGCCGATCTTACCCCGCTAGTCATGATTTCGAAACATTAAGTACAACCCTGAGAACAGAATGCCAAGCCACGATCTGGCCACGTGAATAAGTTGAAGTTACATCCTTCTAACAGGAAAAGTAACTTTCGTTATCATGGAATTATAACAAAACCTGCCAATTCAATATAAATGGAAAAAAAATATTATATGGAATTGAACGAAAATGAAAATTTGCTTGATAATTCAACTACGCTTGTTGGAGAACAATAAAAACACTACACTCAACAAGCCACCAATAAAACTCAACTGCCTAACCTATAACCAAAGTCTCCTTTTAATTTGTTTATTAAAAAAAGCGCTTGACAAACTTGCCCCGCATGCCGAAGCTGCCCCGATCTCCCCTATAAATGTTTCATTCTTAAAGCCGAATTATAATTACCATAAATTTCGATCAGTACCCCAGAGAGGTAATTTGTTCACCATTGTGGTTCTTTAAACATGACTATTGGTAACTTTAGCGCTGTCCATAAATGACGTGCACACTGGAACAAAGGGAGGTGGTTATTACAAGTCGGGCAAAGTCGAACATCGGAAAAGAAAGGGATATAACTTTAATGGAGGTTCGTTTTATTTCATTAAATTTTATTTAGTTTATGCGTTTTTTTATTCTTTTTTATTATTATTCATACAGTGAGAAAAGTTTTGCGAAGATTTGAGTTTTGTTCGACGTTCAAAGAAAACAGGGGTACAGAAACTTGGACAAACTGGGACAATGAGGGAGAGGAAGTAAAAAATTGAAGAAAATGCGGAAATAATTTGTGCACAGCTCCTTTTATGAGGTCAGGCCCAGGCTCCATAAACCACGAGGCACAAGTGGGGTCTAACTATAAAACTTCACTTTTTACTAACAGCTATATAAAAACGACCCAGTTATGATTGCAAATGGAAGTACTTATTTTTAAATACTAAATCTATGATAGAAAAATTAGAGGCCCTGAAAAATTTGTACGGTGTTCTGAAGTCTCGCAACTAGAGCTATTAGTTATACAGGTAACACGGCACTTCTATAGCACGGATTCGTTCTAACACGGTTCGAGAATTGGTACCATCCCCCGTATAACACGGTACTTTTATAGCACGGATTTACTCTGACACGGTTCGAGAATTGGGTAAAACCCTCGTACAACAGGAAATGTAATAAATTTTTACATACTTAAGTAATAATAGTTCACGAAAATTATTATTTTCGTGAACTATTAGTACTTAAGTATGTAAATTTTCTCTTCTCGCCTTCTGTCGATACACGTGGTCCTTCTCGAAACTTGTTTCAATGTTGCCAGATCGCGACGCTTCTGCTTCTGATGTTGCCGAATGTTTTTCCCTTATTCCATACTTGCTTTATTCTTCATAAGTGCTTAGCACCATATAAGGAAATTTATAAAGACCTTTTAACTAGAAGCAAGCAATCTAAAATTACATACATTTTGCAAAAGGTAAAGCATGGACCTGAAGATAATGCAGAAAAATGCTTAGAGGATAAGAATAACTTGCCAAAAAGCAAACGCTCTCGGTTAATTAATAGTGTTTTTAGTGATGACGAAGAAAACATTGTTTAATTTACATTAATATGTATCACTTAAAAGAATTTTAATGAAGAAATTTATCTTAATTATGAAAATATACAAGCATGTTTTTTAATTATTGGAACCTAACCCTCCTTTTCGTATTAGTTCTTTGTTTCGTATAACACGGATTCGCATAACACGGCAATTTTTTGAAACGTAACTACCGTGTTATACGGGGGTTACCTGTACTTCATTGAAATACTGATATTCGCTTCACTGATTACGCCCCTTGGGGAATGCGCCTCTAATAACAATTTTAGGCAATTCTATGTAACAATGGCAATGGAATAGATCACATTTATTTGTTTAAAATTTAGTTACACCAAAAGATTGAATATTCCAATATCTTGTTGGATTGTCTTTTCTTTCCAGCACAGTGTTCAATCCGTTAGGCAGAGGTTGTCTATTGATAGTTTTTCTGTGATGTTCATAAATTTTTTGATGATTGTTGTTCAAACGTGCTTTTCATTTTATTTCTGTTACTAATTTTATTTCTCTGAATTTTTTAATTTCATTTATTCTAAAAATATTCGATTAGATTTAGGATTAAAGTCTGTCTGTGACTCAGATTTTGGCAAGTGTACAGCAGCAAGATTATAATTTTCCACGCATATTTTATCATTAATCATACGCTTTCCATCCCCATAGACTATCATTTATGCCCTAACCATAACACTTCTTCCTCCATGTTTAACGAAAGTGTACAGAATAACAATTGGCACAATTGTTATTCTTTACACTTTCGTTAAACATTGGCTCTGTTCATCGAACTGTCAATAGAATAACAATTGTGCCAATTGTTATTCTATTCACAGTTCGATGAACAGAGCCAAAAATGTTAAATTTGCAGTCGACTGAAAATATTACATGCTTGAACGAGTCATAATCTTTTATTTTCTGTTTCATATCGTAGGTAGTTAGTCAATGTAAACGTCTACAATAACAATTCTAATTTAAACTTATTTTTTACATATTATTTACATTCTGTATAGATATTTTTCGTATACACATCCTTTTAAAATAATTTTTATAAAATTCACGAACTATACTTCCTGAAATTTGTTGGTATTTTAGTAAATGTTTATCTGTAAATATCCTGTAATTTAAAAATAAAATTTATATAAATTTTAAATGATTCAGCGCAGAGAATAGAAATTTTAATCACTGTGTAATGTACACATTGAATATGAGTTTGTCTGATATTTAATTAAAATCGTTTTATTTTTCCATTTAGCTAATCATCACCCTGCAAATACAAAAACAAACTAAAACGAGAAGAACTAAGTTTAATCTTGCAAGAATGAAATCCATGATTCACTCTTAAGAAATTGTATTTTACACGTTCGAACATTATCAGTTCCTCTTATCGAGAAGTTATAAGGAAAGTATACTTTAAATAAGTCTTTGAAACACAATTTTTCATTTAATAATAGCAATGATTAAGAATATCTATAATACATTCTAATATTAAATTTATTATTAATTATTATTAATATTAAAAGTCATGTAAAATTAAAATTTTATGCAATTTATTTCATGTATGTTGTTATTACTTTCAGCTATTCTTTGCACAAAACACAGTTTTGAAGAAAATATTTTCCAAGTTTATAAGAAAAATTGAATGTTGATGCACTGCTTTACTTACATCAGTGATCTTCGTTTCAAAAGAAGAAAAAGGTCTACTGCAAGGATAGAAAAAGAAAATTCATGAAGACATAAAGACATTTAAAAAATATTTTACAGAAATTGTTTAGTCTACTTTAATATGTCATCCCTGATTAGCTGTTGTTGAAAATATTAATAGCATAATATATTTATAAACTAATATTATCATCTCTAAAATTATTTTTGTTTGTGTTTTGATACAGAAATGTTATTTTAAATATAGAAGTGATTATTGAATTAAATATTATTATTAATTTAATTATTGTTCTTATGTAAGAAACTTTTTATTATATCGATAAAATATTATTTATAAAAAATTTTTTAATTGCAGGAAAAAGGAACCAAAAGAAATTTTCGTGTGAACACTGTAAGAAGAACTTTACAACTAAACAAAGTTTGCAAATTCATGAAAGAATCCATACGGGAGAAAAGCCTTACACTTGTGATGAGTGTAAACAGAAGTTTACACAAAAGGCACACTTAATTACACACCTCCGAAAACACACTGGAGAAAAGCCTTACTGTTGTGATGAGTGTAAACAGAAGTTCACAACTAAACAAAATATGGAAAATCATAAAAAAATTCATACAGGAGAAAAGCCCTACAGTTGTGATGAGTGTGAACAGAGCTTTACAACTAAACAAAGTTTGCAAACTCATGAAAGAATCCATACGGTAGAAAAGCCTTACACTTGTGACGAGTGTAAACAGAAATTTACACAAAGTTCCAATTTAATTAGACACCTCCAAATTCATACAGGAGAAAAGCCTTACACTTGTGACGAGTGTAAACAGAAATTTACACAAAGGTCTAATTTAATTACACACCTCCGAATTCATACAGGAGAAAAGCCTTACTCTTGTGATGTGTGTAAACAGAAGTTCACACAAAAGGCAAATTTAATTAGACATCTTTCGATCCACAATAAACAAAAGTAACATTTAACGTTAATTATGACCAGCGAAATTCGTTTCAAACCACGATCCAAAATTACATTATAATATTCTTACTTAGAAATTTTGAAAGAATATTATTTTTAATTTCTATTGATGTAGAATGATCGAAAGACGTAAGCAAAACTGGTTTTAAATGAAAATTTGTTTTTCTAATTTCTAAGAAGTTTTAACTAAAAAACATCTCAATATTCATATTCAAATGTAGCTCTTTTCGAATTTTATAATTAATTATATTTCAAACGGTAACAGCTTTGTATCTCGATATTTTTAAACAAAATTATATATTTTTTGAAATTTTGAAATTGCAATTTTCTGTTTGAACATACAAAACAGAGTTCATGTAGAAGTTTGTTCAAAACAGAATTCGTTATTTTTAATCACAAAATATTATAACTTGATATTAATACTTGAATTGTTAATATATTATTAAAATGTCTTTATGTAAAACTTTTTTGAATAAAAAGTTGTTGCATCGATACTTGCTTGTATTAATTATAGTTAAAGTTAATTTATTTGATCAATAATTCGGAGAGTGCATATTTTGCTGTAATTCATAATACAGAAAATCCTTGTATATTCGAACATTATGAGCAAGTTCAAAATTTGCCGCATTTTTTGACAGATAAACATTGTCCTGTTTTAGTAATTTTTTACTTTTATCTCATTTTTTTATAACTGATACGAAAACATTGTGTTCAATAAATGAATTTAAATTTTTTGCAATTCAAATTGCAATTTGAAAACATTGTAGACCAATAAATTCTCACTGTTGTCTGTCCTTTAATCTCGAAAACATAATCAGATACTATACATTAAAGTCAGAGAATAGATATGAGAAACTTAGTGGTAGGAGTGTCCATAAACTATAATCGACCTTCACTTTCATGTCATTTCAGTTGAAAAACTTTATGCACAACGGAGTCAGTTAGACCAGCGATTCCCAACCTGTGGTACGCGTACCCCTAGGGGTACGCGATAGGTTGTTTAGGGGTACAGTAAAAAGTTAGTTATTATGGCAGAAAAAATAATATATTATGTATCACAAACTAATAGTATTAAAAAATTATTAAGTAAAATATGTTCCTTGCAACAATCACAACTTTATTATACATTTTTTCATTTACTTTTTTTTTCTTTAATTTAAAGTTACAATATGTAAAATTAACAATACGGGTACTCACTAAATTTCTTAAATGAGGGGTACAATCTAGAGATATGACATGTCACGGGGTACGCTAACGAAAAAAGGTTGGGAACCACTGAGTTAGACGACTTACAGGATTTGATTGTTATCTGGAAAAATATGCACAGCAGCAAGACGCTACTAAAATCGAGAGCATATATTTTAAATTGATAAAAAATTGCAACTCGACATTGTGATGATAATTTTTGCTCGTCTTTATTAATTAATATTTTAGCAAATGAGCCCGCCGTCGATTGTGCAAAAAGTAACGATAGCAAAATTAAGAATATTAAATTATAGCGGATTTTATCCGTTTTCACCGGTTGCAAGGATTAGGTTCTTCCTTTTCCGAGAATGACTGGAGAATTTTAGATGAATCTGAAAATGTGTTCGATTTCCTGCAAAAACGCATCTAAAAAAGTGCAGGAGCCAATCGTTCAATATAGAAACGTACCCATTAACAAGAAATTTATTTTACGTCTTTAACTATCCGAAAGGGGTTGTCCATAAATTACGTAAGCTATTTTGGGGTGAGTGGGGGTCACGGATTTCTTACTCGATAAGGGGGTAAAAGATCTCGTCTTACGTAATATTCTCATTTTTATTTTTTGATCTCGTTGAGTGGTGGAGTTTTGAATTTGGCATCAATATGGCCGTTTCTATTAAGAATGCTCGTTGTACAGGTACTGAAGCCATCTCGTGTGACATGATAAAATAATAACGCTAACAGACTCACGCTCTACGCGTTTTTTTCATGGGAGAAAGGCCGTGTGGTGTTTTCTCTTTTTTTTTTTATTAGAATAAGTGCACCACTCCTATGGGTGAATAACACTAAGAATACATAAACCAAAATACATGATACAAAGTAAACATAAAATTATTAATCGGCTTTTAGTGAAAACTAAAATGTAAAACTAGATATTAGAAATTATAAATAGACTTTTATTCGGTGTTTTTTGAACATAATTGTAAAAATCATAAAACTGTGGCTTCCGAACAAGCTTATCGAGTAAACATGGTCACCTGAAACCAAGCGTAAAGATTTCTAATTTCAGAATAAGTGTATGTTGATCGTAAATTGGACAATGATAGATCATATGGCAAATGTTAAATCTCTAAGTGGTGACGAGATCCTGCATTTAACACTAGGAAAATAAAGTCTTGTTATTCTACCAGTTTATTACTCAACCATTGTTGATTCCACTTTTGCGTAGCGTTGTCATGAATATAATTTTTAAGGCTGCTACGTGAGAGAGGGATGCGAGTGTATTCCAAATCAGTCGCATCCCAACTGACATCCTCAAAGTCGACTTTTTCATTTCTAATTATGACAGAATGGCCAAGGAATTATATAAAAGTTATGTTATTTACAAGATTTTTAATATGGTGCTGGATATATGCGATTTTATTGCTATTGCAATTGGGATTTAATAAAGCTTTTAGCACAGACTGAGAATCACTGTAAATGTTGATAGACAGAGTTTTGTTTGGCAGTGAAGTGGCCCACTGAACAGCTTGGTAGTCAGCATCTTCTTCAGCTTGATAGATGAAGGTATGTGGGGAGTATCTGTACATTCTAACATATTTTGGGCAAGAAAGGAGCTTTTGGAAGCATCTGTGTAGATATTAATTAATTAGCTTTTGGATAGCATCTGTGTATGATTAATTGGATAATTAATCATATCCATGAAGGAAGCAGATGATATCAAATGTATTCTGTGTACACTGTGATCACCAGCTTGTTTACAGGGTGATGATCACATTTAGTACGGTAATTACAATGTGGTAGCATATGAACAGCCGTAGATAGAAGTAGAGACCGTTGTTGAGCCTTGACGTTTGAAGTTTTGATGTAGTACAGTCGACCCCCCTATAACACGGGTTTCTATATTTCGAATTCCTATATGACGGCGAAAAAATTGCGACAGTATCCGTACAAACATGGTAAAAAATCTCCTAAAATTCGGTAAAACGTCATCGGGCAGCCAAACTACTTTCAGCCGTCCAGCGCCACGCTACGGAGGGTTTAGGTGGGTAAGTTGAGGTTGCTATCGTCTGTACAGTATTACAGTCGACTCCCCTATAACACGGTAGATACTAGGGTTTCTGAAACGGGATCCCGGGATCCCGGTTGTTTTTTTAACCCGGGAAATTTTTCTTATATCGGGAAATCCCGCAAATTTTTTAAAAATTCACTTTTTTTCTTATTTTGTGTTAAGGTTGAGGAGTTTTGCAAATAGAAAGCATAATTAACTCATTCACTGCCAGAATACATTTGTATTTATTAATTTTAAACCTACCTATTAGTTTTTTTAAATTTTTGCTCGTTATAGCATGTCACAAATGGTCAATAATCAATATATAGCTTATTTGTGGCATGACTATAAAAATTCTTTACTTGTCGGAACCTGTAATATCTGGAATAATTGTGCTTACGCTGTCTTGAGTTTTAACCATGCCCAGTAGCTTCAATAAATGCCTGACGCCAGATTGTGCAAATTGGGCAAGGATACAAACGAGTACAAAGTCTGCAAGTATGAAGTTTTTCTTCATAAACCTGATTATTAAAGCCAAATGAATTGCCGAATTATCGAGCTCTAAGCTTGATGCCGCTATTAAAGCAGCCAAGGTAGACAAATCAAGAATACTAGAGAGCGAAAGAAGTACTACAATCTCGAAAACGAACTCGAAATCTTCCAGGCTACAGGTGAAAAAACACATAATATCTGTCTTCTCTTAAATGCATTAAACACTATTCCAATCACATCAATTGAATCGGAAAGGGCATTCTCGGTGGCAAGACTTTTCATTACTAAAATAAGAATTAGAGTGAGTTATCGGAGTATTGACCATCTTTGCTTTTTAAAATCTTATAAAAGTTTGCAATATTTTGTATTATATTTTATTTAAAAAACGAAAATTACCTTCTAAATTAGAAGTTCATTTTTTTAATTTTTAACTCAATTCAAAACATTTTTTTTTTGTTGTTGTTGTATGCAGTTTCCAGCAAACTTTAATTTTTTTTCTATTTGTGAAAATTTCTACGTTATTTAAAGGTAATTTTTATTATAGGCCTATAGACCTAACACAGCATTATTAATATGATTTTGGAGGTTACAAAACTTTAAAGTTACTTTAAAAAATGGAAAATAATTATATCATTTGATTTCAAGATATTTTGTATACCTTAAAAATAATTAATTCTATCCCGGGATTTTCCGGGATCCCGGGAAACAGTTCACTTTTATCCCGGAATCCCGGGACAAGCAAAAGACCGGAAATGAGAAACCCTAGTAGATACGTTCCGTTCTTATGAATCTATTTTGTACGAGTCCTTGCCAATCAAAGCCCCACACGTATGCACTTTACAGACTATGGCTGTTTGAAAGGTTTTCTTTCATAAAATTAATCGATTCCTTGACTAATTCGACTCAACATTTCCAAAATACGTATATTTTTTGGGAATAATCCGTATAAACTATGCTATAAACAAAAAAATTGTAGGATTACTTATCGAGTGTGCACCGTTCGACGTCGCCATTGCTTAAGCTTGTTTCCGTCGCGAAGCAGCGCACCAAACGGCGGGCGCGATTTCTGATGTTATTTTTCTGCGGAAACTTCGTTGAACTTTGGAGACTTCGTTGAATGGTATCGTGGGGAGGACTATTGAAGAATCCACAATAGTCCTCTTCGCGATACCATTTTGTGGTCCTGTCACTCTCCGTATTTGCAGTATTTTTAGGCGACATGCCTTTTTCCTGCCAGTTTCCCCGACAACCAAACCGTAGGAGGTTGCTGTCCAATGACAGGGATCATACTTCCATTCTCGAAAGATCGGGAGTTTATTCTATCCTATTAGAAAATATGTCGGGTGGTCGCACCCATTATATTTGCGCGACAACTAGAATATTGTCGTGTTGTATTTCAGAACATCAGTATTCTATCAGGGAAGGCAAGAATGAAACTGAGCTCGCTAGAATGG